TGACAGATTTGAAGCTTCAAGAAAACATTTTCTCCTATCAACTCAACATAGCATGAAGAACTTGTGAGCTCTCCTAGGAATTTTTAATCTCCAAAGGATGGATAGCAGTGTCGTGGGTCTCAGTTGAAACACCTGATGTGCATACTTTAAATTCAACTGTTCTTACAGCATGATGTCCTCGCCATTGTTTTCTGCTCACTTCCTATTTCTGTGGTCTGTGTGTTATCTATACAGGCCTGTGTAAATGTGTAAATCGGTTTGTAGGTTCAGAGGCTACATAATGAAATCCCATGTTGTCATCTGTTGCTCATTCCCTTATGCCCTTAGAGCCCAGGTTTTCATTGAACCTGAAATTTTCTGTTTGGGCTAATCTGGCTCCCAGCTCTCTTTAGATCTCCTGTCCTCCAAGGTAGAACTTCTCTCTTGTTTTGTCTTATCCAATGTTACAAGTTAAATATACACAGAGAGGAAAGATATATTTGCTTTCTCTTTTGTTTATTTACTTTTATTGTTTTGATACCAATGTGTTTTTTAATATATAACAAAATCAAGCACTACAGCTTTTTTTTTAACAATAAATAGCAGGCTTCTTTGCTTTCACTGCACAGAGCTAAGACCACAGGAAATGTCTGGTTTGTCTCTGGTTTCTCAACCGAGATTCCCACAGTGCATCTCCTTGCTGACATTGTGTTGCTGACTATATCATGTGCATGGCTGTGTCTCAGAACAGATTCCCTCTCATAGTTGTGCAGAGTGCTGGGTTCCTGAAAAGCACTGCAGGTGATGTCACTGGCCTCCTTCTGACTGACATTGGGCTGCATTCATATCATATGCACTGTCTTCTGTTGAAAACTTCCTGGTGTTGACCATGTATCACTTCCTTTTTCTTGGGTTATCAAGGTTATCTGTGGAGGAGCCAGGATATGTTGAGTGAAGAGACTATGATGGGTGAACTTGGAAAATGTGGAGTCAGGGGGTTTTGTGATGGATAAAATGTATTCAAGGAAAAGTTAAGTGCAGGCCGGGGTAGCAGTACCTTGCTGAGTCTAAGAGCCTTGTAGACAGCATAGAGGACCCGTTACCTCTATATGCATCAGAAAAGGTGCTGCAAGGCAACAGTCCTCTCTCACTGACCCTTTTAGGTTCAGGAAGTGTGTGTGTGTGTGTGTGTGTGTGTGTGTGTGTGTGTGTGTGTGTGTGAGTGTGTGTGTTGGGTTGTTGTATATTGTGTGTTGTGATTTTCTGTGCATCTCTCTATGTGTTTGTGAACTTCTATATGTGTGTTTGTGTGTGAATACTGTCTATTGCTTGCACAGAGGTGCTCCTTTGGGTGTGTGTATGTGACCATGTGTGGTTGAGTGTGTATGTGTGTATGTGCCCATGTTCCCTGTATGTATAGAGGTAAGTATTTGAGTTTGTTTGCAAGTTCAGTTGCTTATATGTGCAAGTGTGTTTGTATGTGTGGATTTGTAACTTCGTGTGTGTGTGTGTGTGTGTGTGTGTGTGTTTATCTATATTTGTATGTTCATTTACACATTTTTAATGATGATGGAACCAACTTTGGTGAAAAAGTACTGTGCCCCCTCACTTGGCATCAATCAAATATTGTATGCTGCTGCCCATCTTTCTCCATGTCCTCCTAGCTCACTAGAACAAAGGGACACAAAAGCTACTATAACTCAGCGATTTTCAGGTATTTGTAGAGACAAAAATATATATCTGAAAAGAAATCCTTGGAGCAAACCAAAGGAATGTAGTACATGGAGGTTAGGAGGAGACCACTGTGGCAAATCAAGGTATCTGAGAGGCAGGATAGGCTGGCTGAGGGTGTGTGTCTCTTCTCGGCTCTGGGTGAATGGTGACTGCACACTCAATGGTCAGGTGGCTTGCTGTGTCTTCTCTGTATCCTGTTTTGTCCTCATCCACATTGTCTGCTACCACTTGCTTTTCCCCTTTCCCTAACTTTGGCTCAGTTAACCTTGGCCTTGGAACTTAGGCTGGATGTTAGTCGTTGAGAGATTCTGACTTGCAGTGTGCTTCCAGCTGCATCTCAGTCCAGCGGAAGTTCCCTAGCCAGGATGTGGTATGAGAATGGGGCTGTCTCAGTGTACCCCACTTAGATTCCTGAGGGTATTGGAGACGCCACATGCTGTGTCTGCAGCACTCAGTAACTGCTTTTCTCCAAAGTTGTTCATTCTGAGTTAAAATCAGCCTAATGGAGGGTTTGGAGAAATGAGGACCCTCAGACATTGCTGGTACTGTAAAATGGTACAGCACAGTAACAAGCTACACACAAGTCTTCAGAAAGTTGAACTGCATTCCCAGGTGACCCAGTGATGCCAGAACATGAAGTCAGTGTCCACAGAGAAGCTAGGGGATCTCAGGGATTTATCAGCTTTCCTGAGTGTAGCTTCATGATGCCCATCATTCAAAGAGTGAAAAAGTACAATGTGGTTAGGCTCTTCCATGGAATATTGTTCAGCACAAAATAATACATAAAATCATTTGGCACTGACTTAGTCAGCCATTTGTTACTCAAAAACATCCATGGCACAATCACCTCAAAGGAAGGAACTGTTTCTTTTGGATGCTGGTTATGGACATTTTCTAGTTTCCTGAGATTCTTTGCTTTTGGTCCAAAGTGAAGCAACCTGTAGCACAGAGAGCCCTTTTTAAAGGAAGTTGCTCACGTTGGGGGAACTGGGAAACAGTGAATAAGACCAGTGCGGTTGTCCATGACCATCCAGTAGTCCTTTGCTGGGGAACATTCCTATACTGCACAGCCTGGGGAACTTCCTAAGCAGGGTTAGTTAACGGACAAGGACCCATGAGGCCACCTGTCTCTGCATTAGGTTGCAAATAGGCTCTTCACTGACTGAACTGCCTCTCTCCCATGTTCACTGGCTTCTCTCTTCCAACAGGTTTACCTTGTTTTCATTAGTATCCCTGGTGGTTGCTCCTTATGTTAGTATTAACTGTGAAGCTAAACATGTTACTGCATTATAGTGTGCTTGTATGTGTGCACACATGTACTTGTGTGTGTTCATGAAATTATGTGTGTGCATATGAATGAGCAAGCCTCCACTGAGAACACAATCTTCTAATGAACAGGAGCAAGAGAGCCTGGATGAAAGACCGAAGGACCTGCTGAAGCAGAAGGAGCTGGTCACCCAGCAAGAGGACTTGGCAGAAAAGCTGCAACATCACTTCAGTGTCTCTGAGATGAGGTA